GGGTCGAGATACGATAAGATTTTGTGCACCATCTCTGCAATGAACCTAAAGCTGGGTTCAGACATGGCCCGTAGTAAACCTGCTGCTTCAACTCGCACATCTGCGCCATAGGCTGGGCTGCTGTTGATTTCTCGGAGCAGTGTGGATAGGTCATCAAATGATCTCAGAATAACGGAGACCGTGCCAAAATGACCAGTCCAGCGTTGGTCTAGGAGGCGCTTCAATGTCTCTCCCTTGTAGAGAATGGCAACGGTAGGCTTTCTGCAGAATTTGTAGAGCATGTTACACATAGTGAAAAAGTCCACCAAGGCCTGCTCTGCTGCCAAAGCATGGGTGACCACCAAATGTAATTGGTGGTTGAAACAGTGGACATAGGGTACATATCTCGGTGCAATTTTTGTTGGAGACGTTTTTGCACCCCTCCATGTTTACCTGACATCAGGGAGGCGCCGTCATACACCTGACTGATGATTTTCCCAGAACTCAGTCCTGCTTTTGTTAATTCTTCAATTATCGTGTCAGTCAGTGTTTCTGCGTCTCCCTGGTCAGCTGTGGCAATTGTCAGAAGACGTTCAGTTGGCTCATTCAGTTCATTCACAAAACGCACAACTATCGAAATATTCTCTCTTCCTGTCGGGTCTCGAGTTCCATCCACTTTTATTGTAAAAAATGACTCGCCAACCTCTTTCACTATGTGCTCCGTGACCAAAGTACTCATTATCTCTATCAAACTGTTTTGGGCTCAAACTCGCGTTTGAATCATCAGTGGCAAATTCTTTAAATATAAAAAAAATTTACTTACAGGCTGTGAGTCAGAAGCCCCAGACTGTCCTTGCAAAGTTGGAACTGCCCCACTTTATAGAACAGCCTTTGAGCACAGACCCATTGTAGACTATGCAGAACTGCAGGTTCAGAAAACAGTCCTCCCTAAAATGTGTCACACGGCGTCACACACAGCGGGCTGGAGTGAGGAACGTCCGGCGGGCTTGCGGCAACCACATGTGACGACCCCGGGCTGGACTCCGCTTCGTCCACGGTGAAAGCCGATCCGGTGATCCACAGCGCGAAGTTGATGTATTTCCTCAGCAACCAGCATAGATCAGCTCTAGGCATGATGAAGCGGATATCGTCCTCTTTTGGAAGACCAAACAAAGTAGTTTCGCTTTCACAACAAAACACACAGCATCTCCACAACATGGCAGCGGCAACAACAATACTACAGCGAGAATATATGTTACGCCTTCTTTCTTTGCGTGAACATTTGGGCGGTGTTATGCAAATTTCCCCACACAGTGACGTAGACATGTGGGGGCGTGTTTAAACGAGGCATTTTAGGAGGGCCTGGACCAGTCTTAACTTTTATAAAGAATATCTCTTTGGATTTGAGACTTTAGTCTTTGCAACTTTATAGATCTTCTTTATGCACCAAGAGCTTGTAACACTCCAAAGAGAAAGGAAAATTTTAAATCGCATCATATGACCCCCTTTAAAGGTTTCTGCGCCACTACTATCACCTAACGGAAGTACAAAAATAGGCCTACAGCATGTTTTCAACCTTTGCAAACGCCCCTTTCACGCATCAGTCTTCTCCCAGCTCAAACATCACAAACATAGCACTGCATCTATAAAAGTGGAGGCATGTCTCTCCACTAGACTATGTCTCTCTAGTAATAATTTTAACTTGAAGTTTAGCTTACCTGTCGAGAAGAAACTCTGTATGTTCGTTGTGTGGAACCCATTTCATCAAATTCCTCCCTCTTGTAAAAACACTGCGGTCCAAATGCAATGATTGGACGAACATTTTATGGTGCTGAGTCTTCCACAGAAGACATTTATTTATATTTTTACATTTAGACCACCTTAGTTATTAATTCAAATCAGGTTGTGAAGATACTCTAATGAGGAAAATGACCGAGTGCTGCACCCGTTACTGCTGGTGCTGTTCCTTTCTCTTCCGCTAGAGGGTGCAACACACTCTCTACCCGCTGAACGCAGAACAGCACACACTTCCTGTGCTCGCTCGGGACGGGTTGTCGATAAACAGCGAGCACATGCTGAGCACAATTTTTGTCGTTTTGTCTCATAACAAAATGACAACAACTTTGATTTAAATACTAATTTAGTTGCTTGACATTTTGCAGTTGCCATGTCTCTGCTATTAAACGCTGCACAATGAAATACTTCACTACTCAGGTATGTATGGTGTGACAAATACTATTCGCCACAGTTAGAATACAGTATGCAGACATTGGTAACTGTATTAGTTGCTTAATTTGTAGTCGCATTACTATATTTGGTCGCCGTGATTTTGCCAAGCAAGACATGTTCCTGGATCAACATCTTTTGTTGATCCTGAATCAACATTACTGTCCAAAAATATAGACTAAACCCTGATCATAAGCCTAAAACAGATATTACCTGAAAAGTTATCCCTCAATTCTGATTGGTTAATTGGAATGTTGTTCCAGGATCAACAAGGATATTGATCCAGGAGCATGTTGTACTTGGTGAAATCACGGTCACCTACTATATTTATATACATGGTGCATTTTTCGTTTTCATTATAGCTGTTATACCTGCATGTTCGTTGCATTATCCAGTGAGAGTTTGTATCTGCCAGTGCAAAACTATTTCATGTTTTCATTGTGATTTCAATCATTTGTATTGCAATAATGTTATACTTAAACATCATGTTTGTAGTGCAGTGCACACTTACAAGTGCATTGATTTACACAGCTGTTTTATTTGTTCATAGGGCATTGATGGATTGTATAACAGAGTTTACCACAGCCATGTCATGTGTGATTTTGTCTGTCTCGTCATTGCATGCTGCTTATCGGCTATTCAAGGTAAACATCCATTCAGTGTCTTGAATGCAGCAACTGTTAGTAAGATGCACATGCACTGTTATGACTTTTTTTTCTCTTTTCGCAGGACCACAGAGCCTCATCAGTGGGCTTCCTCCTGATTGGCTTTTCCTCTGTCCTTTCAGTCTTTTCTCCCAGTAACCAAACTATCAAATCACTCACAAACGATCTAGAATGGGCAGGTGAATCACTTGGTCCTGCTCTTATTACTTTTGACTTCTTGTGGTTAAGTGAGGACCACGTCACTGCTCGTATCCTCCTGATTGGCTCTACTTTTTTCATAATGCTCTCTGATTGGTTATCATCAGATGGGTTGGTCATTATGTCACGCTGCCTGACATTTTCCACCCTCTCCTGTTCGCTGACCGTGTGTGCGTTTGCTGAAAATGCAGCAGGGGCAGTAGGGAGTGTTGCCCTCAGTCTGCCTTTATTAGTTTCCCCAAGGACCAGATCTGGGTCTTTGGGTTCCCTCGTGATGCCTACAGAAGGACTTCTCAGATGGATCCTTAAAGTCATCATGGCATTAGGATGCTGGACCACTGGGAAGGCCCTTAATAAATACCTGTTTGATTTAAAAGACTGGGACTGACTAAAGCAATGGTTTCCAAAGACAACAGAGAACCACAAAATGCTACTTTTGTACTCAGATTATTATGAGGCTTACACTAATACTATACACTAACACTATACTGTTGCATGTAAAGGCCTTCTCTGTCTTAATAAGCTAACATTATATTGTAATGTACTACAGAAACTGGAGTTTTTTTAAGTTTGTAATCAAATAATGGAGTTTGCTTATAACATTAAATCCATTACATTGACGGCTAGTAAAATCCATGAGCAATGAATAAATTGTTTTAGCATCTACAACAATGAAGTCTTTGTAAAGAAAGAATGGGACTCTTTTGTTTAAACCAGTGTTGCCATGTTCTGTCATTATGAGCAACTTTGGTAAATGTGCATGATACATTTACTCATTAATTTAGATGTCCAGTTATATATGTGAATTTATTTATTTATTTTTTTGTAAAATAATATAATAATCAAGATGTCAAAAATGAAACTTAAAGGGATAATTCACCCAAAAATGAAATTCTGTCATAATTTACTCACCCAAACCTGCATGAATTTACATAACATTTACATTTATTCATTTAGCAGATGCTTTTATCCAAAGTGACTTACAAATGAGGAATAGAACAAGCAATTCATCAAAATTTCTTTCTCCTGCTGAACACAAAAGAAGATATTTTGTTTAGTCACTGCAGGTACATGTAGTTTGTTTTTCTTGTGAGATCTCATCTCTGACAACACTGGTTTAAAGATGCATAGTATTATATGTTTGTGCAGAGGACAGGTTGATTCAAACAATGAAGCACAGATAATAAACATCAGTGTATGCTGTTACAATTAATTTTTATTTATATATATTTTTAACCTAAATTGGTAGGTTTGGTGAATAAGTCACTAACTTGTGTAATTCAAAATTAGGATTTTGCATGGATTTGATTATATGAAACATGTTGAATAAAATATTAAAACCAAAACCAAATACAGACATTATTTCTTGCTCACTGGATGTGATGTTATTTTAAATATCACGCTGATGCATCTTGTTAATGAGGTGTTCGGCAATCACGAAGGACACATGGGAATAGCAAGCCTAGATTTAGTGCTTGTAGTGCACTAATGTAAAATCCTTTTAGGAAGTCTCCATTGAGATATGATTTTAAATTAGCCATAAGACTTATTTCTTCAATATTATGACACTTGTAATAGGGAAGGGGAACGCGATGAGGATGGTCCATTACAGTCAGGATTTAGTATCCTGGAGGCCTGAGCATAAGGCACTTTAATCATTCTGATTGATGATTATCCCTGGCACTTTGCAAACTATTGTATCATTAGACAGAGCATGGTATCAATAAAGTGTCCCATCAGTTTTAAATGTATTGTAGTAGCAGTAACACTCCTACTTCTGCCTCAGTTTAGTGGTGCTAGCTAAGGGAGGCACCTTTTGGTTTTGCTTATGCAATTGACTGTGGAATTGCTTTTGCTTGTACTTTTTAAAAACTCTTGACCCTCAGTATTAAACTTAGAGGCAAATGATTCCCTTTATGCCTTATTTTTGCCTAGTAGACAATTAAACTGACAAAAAAAGTCCTAGTATATAGGTACTGAAATGTCACAGAACCTTGCAAGTGGGCTCATTTGACTTGTAAAACAACTAGCAACCACCTAGCCCAGAAGAGTCATCCAGAACACCCTACCAAACAACAAGCAACCACTCTAGCAACTACCTTGCAAACACCTATAATTAACCAGAACACTGTAGCAAACACCCAGCAACCATGTAGAATACTCTAGCAAACACCTAGACCCCAACAACCATCCAGAACATTCTAGAAAACAATTATTACTAGTTACAAAACCATAGCAAACACTTAGCAACCATTAAAAACACCCTAGCAACAGCATAGAATACTCAAGCAAACAACTAGCCCTAGCAACCATACAGAACAATCTAGCAAATATTTCGCAACTATCTACAACACCTTAGCATACACTTAACAACTATCTATAAGTACATTAGCATACCTTAGCGTAGTGTATCGTAACTTCAATAACAAAAAAAAAGCCAAGTTCTGTCATGAAACTCTAGATGGCGCAGGCTGATGGGTCGTTTATGATTTTAATTAAAAAATTTTAATGACAGCGTTAAACTACTTGGAACAAGCTGATTGGTTCATGTTGCATATACAACCAATAAGCTTGCTGCTTTGCATTTAAATGGCTGGTTAGCATCCACTACAACATTTTGCAGCACACTTTCAGAGTTACTCTGAAACCCTCCACCTTCCCCAGCTCCACCTGTATAGATCTGCTAAGGGTTATTTTCTATGTTATTTGTGCAGCAGCAGTATGTCTTAAATACTCACAGCAACGTATCGGCATATGTATTGGCAGTAGCAAGTTCCTGTATTTGCTTTGCAGCAGCAGCAATAATCTACAAAAACAACAGCATAGCAGATCTATTCCGCCAAGACCAAATACATTAACATTGTCATGTCCATTACCATGCTAAAATATTCAGAGAGTTGTCATGAGAGAAATATAAACACGGTTTTCCCCTCTCCCCATTTCCCCCTCCATTGAAATTGCGTTCCAGGGAGATTGCTTAAACCCGCAAACTAAGAAACATTTTGCAACGGTAGTCCAATTTTGCATTCATTAAGATTCGCTTTAACTGTCCTCACTCTGCTGCCTGCCCTGCATCATGCCACAATATTATATTTATTTCTATCATGACAACTCTCGGAAGATTTATCATGGTAATGTAGATGACAGTGTTAATGTTTTTGGTCTTGGTGGAATAGACCTGCTATGCTGCTGCTGCGGCAGAGCAAGTACTAAGACTTATTTCTGCCAATTCATCCACAACATGCTGCTGTGAGCATGTAAGAAATACTGCTGCTGCACATATAACAGGATGACATACAATGGCGCCGCAGACGGCAGCCTCAGTGTTTGGCTCTCCAGTGTTTGTACTGTTTTTGTTCGTTTTTCCTGTTTTTTGTTTCTCAAACACGATCAGTTTTACCAGGGATGAGCTGCTGAACATTCGGCAGAACACACCACACAATCTTCTACCGGATTTCGTTTATTCGGACGTTTTGCTGAACGTTGTAGTCGGCGGAGCTGCTGCGCTGATCAAACGGTTCAGGACGCGCAGATGGGGGAAGAGAGCCAGCGTGCTCGTGAAGCTCAGGAAGCGTGGATTCAGAACGCCGTTGCTGAGCATCTATATGGCGAACCTCCGCTCTCTACCCAACAAAACGGACAAACTTCTTCTGCTCTCCCAGACAAATAAGGATTTTTCCTTACTAGACCCCCTGCAGTTTGCTAACCGAGCAAACAGGTCCGTGGATGATGCAGTCAATATGGGACTGCACTTCATCCTGCAACATCTGGACAAAACAGGGACTTATGTGAGGATCCTGTTTGTGGACTTTAACTCCGCTTTCAACACCATCATCCCAACACTCCTCCAGACCAAACTAACCCAGCTCTCTGTCCCTAGCTCTATCTGTCAATGGATCATCAGCTTTCTGACAGATAGGCAACAGCTAGTGAGATCTGGTAAATTCACATCCAACAACCACACCACCAGCACTGGCACTCCTCAGGGTTGCATCCTCTCCCCACTGCTCTTCTCCCTCTACACCAACGACTGCACCGCCAGGCACAAGAACAGTTTCTTTCCCCATGCAATCTACCTCATGAACAGTTAATGTTCTCCCATTGTGCAATTAAAGTACAGTATGTGCAATAACCTTATAATTATTTATCACCCTAAACCCTAGTACATCCTATTCCATCTATACCACACCGTACATACAATTTATTATTTTTTTGTGGTTTGTATTTATGCATGTGTATTTTATTCACATCTCATTTTTATTATCTGTGTTGTTGTTGTCTCCGTGTACTGGAAGCTTGTGACACTATAACAAATTCTTTGTGTGTGCAAACATACTTGGCAATAAAGCTCTTTCTGTTTCTGATTCTGAACATAAACGAAATAACCCCCATATAGCATACATGAATCCATCAATCTATACAGGTGGAGCTGGGTAAGGTGGAGGGTTTCTGAAGCACGCTGCAACTGTTACAGCAAGCACTAGCCAAGCATTTGAATGTTAAGTTGAGAGCTCATTGGCTGCTGATACAAAAAAAAAAAAATCAGCTGCGCCATGTGATGTCATTATGTCAGATTGAGTTAGACCTATCGGACTGCGCAATCTAGAGTGACATGACAGAACGTTAGATATATGGATCTTGTCAATATAAAATAAACTATTTAATAAACAAAAAAGTCACTCCTAAAAATTTTGAAAACCCCTGCCATAGTAAACACCTAGCAACCATCTATGTTACCCTACCAAACACCAAGCAACCACACAGAACACCCTAGCAACCACTTGGCACATAGTAACCATCTTGAATACAGCAGAAATAAAACAATAACATGCTAAAACCACTCAGAACACTTTACCAACCATGTAATAACACTGTGGCAACCTACCACAACTCCCTATTGCCCAGTTTTGCATCGCAAAACACCACTCACATTTACTTTGGAAAAAGTAAAAATCTAGTTATTATCACCACAGTCTTCTGTTTACAGGCAGAAAATATCATCATCAGACTTTAAGCTCTATGAGTTTGTGTTAATTCACAATCTTGCTGTGTTAGAAACGAAGGAAACAAATACTTCTAGTTCTCATGATACATCACCATAGAATCCTTTTCTATGGTTGTCACTTTGAATTTATCGATATCAGAATGCTTTGTTGAGCACCTGTCTTCCTGTTTCCCCTCTCTCATCAATCTCCATTAGTTTCACCCCACCACTGCAGTGCATGGCACCTCTGCGCTGAGCACACTTAAACACTGGTGAGGATAGAGAGGAAGGGGGAGGAGAGAGATGATATTGAGAGAGGAGGAGAAGAAGGAGGGGGAAAAGGAAGCCAGGAATAGCAGGTTGGACAGATGTGCGGAGTCAAGAGCTGGTGTTGCCATCCAAATCCCGGAGAACAGGCACAGAATCATCATGTAGAGCTTCAAAGCTGAAGAATGAGAATGCAGTGATTGCAGTTGTTTAGAATCAACCTCAAGCAGATAGTAAGACTCTGTGAAACATTGGGAATAGCATCATTCTCTGGAGCTTGACGACAATGGGAATGTCATCCAGACTGGATTTGTTGTGGTGGATTTGCTACTGGTGCAGCGGTTTAGTAACACTTGTCTGATTGCATTGCAGCGTGAGAAGAGCAAAGGGATGCTGTGAAGCCAAAGCATTTATTTCCAGCCGCTGTCGTTGTAACATTCGCACCTCAGAAAACATGTATGCCTTCTATTCTCTGCTGGTGTACATCTTCTACACCGTTTTCAAAAAGGAGGAGGAGGCAGCACTCGAGGGGGCGTGCGGAGAATCCCCGGAGGTATGTGTGGCCACAGCGGACAGACGCCAATAGACATGCTAATATATGCATTCTCTATTGTCTGCATAAATTATGTGCAAACAAGTCTTGCTAGAAAAACGGAATGATTTTATTTTTTTAAATTATATTTATTTAAGTAAAAAAATTTAATGTTTATAAAATAAATTGAAATATAAAATCAAATAAAAGGATTTTATCAAATATTATATAGTCAATATAAAATATAATATTATAGGCAATATAGAAACTGGAGGCAATTTCACTGAGGTGATAATTCGATAATGCACGCATGCACAGTCACGTATCGGATGTCCTCAACGGTGGCTTTAACACCTTCCAATAATCACATTCATCTTCCTCTGTAACTGACAGGAGCCTGGCCATGTTTCCATGGAAACAGAGAGCAAGGGGAAGGGTAGCCACACCCCCAGGTTGGGCAAAAGAGGGTGTGCAAGTCTGAGTGATTCGAGTAAGAATGTTTCTACAAATGTTGTTTCGCTACATGATGTTCTAAATACAATGAAGTGCTGCTCCATGCACTCAGCATACTAACACAATTGCCTTTTAAATTGCAGGCAGCAGTAGTGATAGCGATGGGATGTCCCTCAGTGATGAAGATGATGAATTTGACGAAGGTCATGGATTACCTGCCAAAACACCATTAACAGCTTTCCTGTCTTTCAAGCAAGAGGCAGAAAGGAGAAGAGCCACTAATTCTCCAGCAGAACCAAATGAAACGGTGAAAACCTTCAAACTACATTCACATATGCCACATGTTTCATAGTGGTGGTGGTGGTTCGGTGAAGTGGTAGTTTGCCAGATTAGAAAAGGCCACTAATTGTATGTATTTAACTTTGACACATCTTAAAATTCAAAGTTTGTTCTGTGATTATGACTAATACCTCACATTTTGTGGCTTGAAGAGGTGTGCTATCGTGTTTCAAAATAAGTAAATTTCAAAAAATTGAAATAAATTGAAATTCAATAAATTTTTCACCCAAAAATTATGTCATTAATTACTCACCCTCATGTCGTTTTAAACCCATAAGACCTCCGTTCGTCTTCGGAACACAAATTAAGATATTTTTGATGCATTCTGAGAGCTCTCTGTCCCTCCCATAGACAGCAATGTAATTACCACGATCAAGGTCCAGAAACGTAGCAAGGAGATCGGTAAAATAATCCATGTGACATCAGGAGTTCAACCGCAATTTTACGAAGCTACGAGAATACTTTTTGTACGCAAAGAAAACAAAAATAACAACTTTATTCAACAATTCATCTCCTCCTTGGCATTTTGGACAGTATCCACTGAACGCAAACAGCGTATGCTATTCTGTGTCAGCTGCGTCACGCGGATACGTTGTTTTCGTTCAAATCAAAGCGTAAACGATGTAGAAAACGTGGATACTCTCCAAAATGGCACCAGGGTGACGCGGAGGAGACAAATTGTTGAATAAAGTCTTTATTTTTGTTTTCTTTGCGTATAAAAAGTATTCTCGTAGCTTCGTAAAATTACGGTTGAACCCCTGATGTCACATGGATTATTTTACCGATCTCCTTGCTACGTTTCTGGACCTTGATTGTGGTAATTACATTGCTGTCTATGCAGGCTCAGACAGCTCTCAGATTCCATCAAAAATATCTTAATTTGTGTTCCGAAGACGAACCGAGGTCTTACGGGTTTAGAACGACATGACGAATTAATGACAGAATTTTCATTTTTGGGTGAACTAACCCTTTAATACTTCGAAAAATGTACATTTAAATTTTTTTTTCTCTTTACATGTTACTTTTAGTTAAAGTTTTAGTAATTTTATTGTGTTTTTATGAAGAGTTTTTTAAATGGCTACATGGCTTTTATTCATTCTTATTTCAGTTTTAGTTTTAGTAAATAAAGTTAAACTAAATGAAAATAAGAAATAACCTGAAGAGTTCCTCTATAATGTCCGTTACAGTTCATTTTATAAGAAAATTATGTTTTTATGGTTTTAGTTTTGATTAAATAACCCTGCCATCAAGTAACCACCCAAAACCCTAGCAACCTCTCATAACACCTTGGCAACCACATTGCAACATACTAAAAACCTCACAGAACACATTAGCAACTGTTTTGTAAGCACTGGTCACATTTTCTGAAAGAATGTGTAGAAATCTAGTTAAAGCAGTTTTTATTCAATTATACAGTAAAATACAGAAATGTGTATTTTCCAGGTGACAGAGTCTCCATTGCTGTCTGTGATGTCACACCTCCTGAGTTTCCTGGAGCAATATTCCCACCTGCAACAGCTGCAGCAGCAGGCGGATCAGTACCGTCTGCAGCTGCGCAGACACCGCGTCCAGCACCGGCGGAAAATGAAGGCCCTGCGTGCCTCCTACCGCCAGCGCCTCAAAGACAAGAACAGTGTGATTAACAGCCTGGAGGAAGTGATTGCTCAGCAGCAGAGCCCATCATCTGAAAATGAGGGTGAGACCTTTTGAACCTAAAGAAATAACAGAATGTGTTCATTACAATGAGTTTCATATTAGATGCCGCTTGATATTACCTCAATATTGATTTGTTAGGGGATGCTAAATCTGTTACTAGCCCTGTTGTTTGGTCTGTCTGAAGCTATCAGATTTCTAGTTCATTATTATATTCTTTGACAAAGATTCTGTTGATTTCCACAAAACCTTTGGACCGGATTCATGAATTTTTCAGGATTCTTATAGTTCAACGTCAGTCGAACAAGATGAGGACACGTTCACATCATGTGGACTGCTAAAAATTGTACTTTAATTAAATGAGAACAATGAAGAAAAAAATGCCAAAAATAGCAGACTGACGGTTTTAGAAACCACATCTAGCAGTGACCTCAGAGCTACAGAGGGCATCTGAACTTTCTGGTGGTCTGTTTGTCCTCAGACGTCACCAGATGTTCCTCTGTCAGCTGTTACAACAGGTTTCCTATCAGCCAGACTCACTATTAAACATTGCATGGGTTTCAATGTCAGATGTACTTGTCTTTGTAGTTCAGTGGATGCACATGATCCTTAATGCCATCAGGATTTACTGAGCGATGTTAAGCCCAGAGGTGTTTTAAAGGGGGTTCAAGATACTGGCAAAATCAGCCAACAAACTCATGGAAATTCACAACTATTTTATGTTTTGGTGAATTGGTGGCTTAAGACCCATTTACACCAAGAACGATAATTATAAAGATGACTATAGCGCCCACACCAACACACAATAACAATGTTCATTAGTGCTGCAGTTATGCTGTCTGCTGCATTAAATGCTTTAAAGTCAGGTGGTGATTCTGATTGGCTGTCAATGTTTTTGTCAAATCTTCGTACTCATTTTTCCTCAGATTTTTGCATAATTACATCATGACAAACCCTTCACTAGCAATTATCCTCAGCTGTGACTTGAGAGGAAGCTGACAGAGATAATATAAGTCCATTTCATGGTTTTAAGATCCCTCTAAAAAAAATAATCATGGACTGTTTAAGTGTCTAGTATTATATAATGAAATATATGAAATATGAGTTTATATGTTGTTTGCAAAAACTGTATTTCGATCAAATGAGAAGGTGTATTCTGCACCTTCTCATTTGATTATCTTTTGACTATCTTACAGCAGGGCTAACTGGGTTATGCTAAAAACCAGACAAACCTTGTCAATTTTGTTCATAATACCCACATGTCTGCAGACATTTAAATTGATCCATTAGCCACCTGAAATACAGATATGATTCATGTTAATCAGATGGCTAAATGTAATATGGAAATGCATGTGTTTGTTGCTCCTGAGACCTCAATATTTTTTATTAGCCATGTAGTAAAAATACCCATCTGCTAGGCTGGCACATGTCTACAGCACTTGGCTTGTTTCTCTGAGGCTCACAGAGATGAATAAAACATTGTGAGAGCTGCTTCTCTTACAAGTGCAAGTGCACTTACAAACACTAGCAGCGCTGAACTTCACGTGCACCACTGCTAGGTACTATATATATAAATCTGGTTTACAGTGGAAAGGAAATTCACCTTTAAACAATGAAGGTACACTTTTAAAAATGAAGTTCTTTATTGGAATCAGTGGTTCCATGAAGAACCTTTAAAGGGAAAGTTCACCTAAAAATGAAAACTCTGTCACCAGTTTCTCACCCTCAAGTTGTTCCACACCTTTATGAGTTTCTTGCTTCTGTTGAGCACAAAGAAGATATTTTGAAGAATGTTGGTAACCAGACAGTTGACGGTAGCCATTGACTTCCACAATATGGAAAAAATACTATGGAAGTCAATGGCTAACATTGTTATGGTCTCTGGTAGATAAAACTCACGAAGAGCAGAGAATCCACAAGAACAGTCTTTAATATAATTCCACTCATAAACGGACAGGAAAAACTCAGGCATAATCCCAGCAAACGTGCAACATGGACAATAACTGGCCAATGAAATGGGGAACACTCAGGACTTAAGAACACAAGGACTAATGGGATAATTAACAACATACCAGGTGAACAGAATTACTAATTAAACAGACTGGGGAAAACTAGGTCACAACAAACTCGAAACACACAGACATGTAACAAACATCAACTGTTTTTGGTTACCAACATTCTTCAAAATATCTTCTTTTGTGTTCAACAGAAGAAACTGTTGAGTAAATAAGTAAATCATGACAGAATTTTAATTTTTGGGGTGAACTATCCCTTTAACATACATGGAACCGCTCCACTTCACAAAAGGTTCTTTATAGTGAAACGGTTCTTTAGATTTTTTAAATGTTCTTCACACAAAGAAAAAAAAGATATTTGAAAGACATTTTAAAAAAGCTTTACATTTTAAGAGTGTAAATATGATTATACATTAGTATTATGTTGCCAGAAAGAGACCAGTAAACCTTCAGTAGCACAGCTAGGAAATTGGAGCCGGTTTAATGCTCATTGTACAAAACTATTTGACAACAGAAATCAATCAGAATCAAATAGAAAGTTGTGTAATACTTAATGAGCTTTTTGTCTAAGCCTGTTCCTCCATCACGTTTGTTCCACATCACGTTTGCAGTGGCGTCCCCGTGAACAAGTCTCCATTCATCCTTCCCACCAATCCACTCGCTCCCCCCGAGAGACTGACAGTGCAGATCTGACACCGCCTGCCTCAGTAATTAGTATACAGCTCAGGAAGAGACAGAATCTCTAACTCGGCATATCAATAATTAATGGCAGGAATCTAAATAAAATGTTGCAGAGCAGTTAGGCTGCCAGGCACGTGGCACTTTGAGTTCAAAACTCGGGTTGTTGAGGTTGTCTCGAGTCATTGCTTAATGGAGTTTTGCTTAAAGGGATCATATGATGGTGCTAAAAAGAACATTATTTGGTGTATTTGGTGTAATGAAATGTCTTTATGCGGTTTAAGTTTCAAAAAACACATTATTTTCCACATACTTTTGGAAACGCGTTGATTTTTACAAAGCTATCCAGTGCGTTGTGATTGGCCGAATAGCTCAAGCGTGAGACGGAAATGTTACGCCCCTTACCATACTGTGATGCCGTGTCTCGGAGCGACGAGACAAAAACATTAAAACCCATTATAAACGAGGCATTTGTTGCTTCCAGTGGGGACATAATTATGGATTATAATGATTTATACTGTCTTTTTATACATTGCATTGCATCGCGCCACGTAAACATAAAACCATGTCTGCATTTGTGATCGTAGAAATGACAAACAACAAGCCCTACTCTACACTGCTCAAAACTCGCATTTGAATCGTCAGTGGCAAATTCTTTAAATATAAAAAAAACATACTTACAGGCTGTGAGTCAGAACAGCCGGCATTGTAGTCTACTCTCCCAGGATCAGGAAACAGTCCTCCATAAAATGTGCTGCACACATCTGAATATTTGGGTTGAAGTGTTCTGGAACAGTGTTGTAAATACAACTTAACCACTGATTTCTAGTCGTGTCCTCTTTTTTCCGCTTTCGCAACGAAACACACAGTGTCTTCACAACATGGCGGCGGTGGCAGCAACAATAAAGTTACGCCTTCTTTCTTTGCGTGAACATTTGGGCGGCGTTATGCAAATCTTCCCACATAGTGAGGTAGATATGTGGGGGCGTGTTAGAATGAGCCGTTTTAGGTAGGTGTGGCTGAATCTTAACTTTTATAAAGAATATCTCTTTAGATTTGAGACTTTAGTCTTTGCAACTTTACAGATCTTCTTTATGCACCAAGAGCTTGTAACACTCCAAAGAGAAAGGAAAAATTGAAATCGCATCATATGACCCCTTTAACTTTTATAAAGAATATCTCTTTGGGTTTGAGACTTTTGTCTTTGCAACTTTAGGGATCTTATCTATTCACGAACAGCTTGTAACACTCCAAAGAGAAAGGAAAACTTGAAATCGCATCATATGACCCCTTTAATGGAGTTCTAACATTTCTTATAAAAAATAACAACTGGAACAAATTTTGAAATGAAATAAAATTAATATTTCATTAAATATTAATATTTCATTGATTAGCAAAGGAATCAAATGAGAACATTTTGAATTTAGATTAAATTCTTGGGCTTTGATTTGATCTTGGCAAACCTGAGAACAGCTTGCACAACTCTGGAGGAGAAACGTGATATTACTGGGCAGTTTTTCAGATGTTCTCCATTTAATGCAGTCGGTATCCAGGAGAAACAATTGTCTTTGTGATGTTGTTATAAAAAAGGAACCTGGGTGATCTACATAAAACACATTTCTAAAAAATAAAACGTGGATATTTGTTCTTGTCTTTAAGCCCTTTTGGGTGTGGAGGCCTGTTTGAGGCAATAACATTTGGAAAATCTATCCACTAAGAAATCAATATATCAGTTAAGCAGTCGTTGTTCATGTAAATAAAAAGATAAAAGTCTTAAAAAGATTAATTAAAAAATGTATCAAAAGTGTTAGAATAACTAGAAAAAACAATGTTTACTTTATAAGTGGTAAAGACAAAATATTTATCTATGCAATTATGAAGTAATTAATAATTGCATTTTTAATTTATCTATTGTTTTTTTTAATTTTTTTATTAGTGTTTTAATGATTTAATCACTTGATTGATTAAAAGTCAATATTAATTAAATTATGTTGTTATGATTACTTTCTTTCGAGGTTTTGATTAATTTCTTATTTATCTTTGTTTTATTTAATATCAAATACCATTAAATTGAATATCTAATTATTAATTAAAAAATTATTTAGATTGTAACTATACTTGTCATTGTTCATGTCTTTTATCCATTTTTGTCATTGTGAAATTATTTTTTTTAATCTTTAATTCTGCCAAGTGGTTTATTGATATCTCATTGATTATTAACACAGTATTTATGCACTTCCATTTTACATTTAGTCATTTAGCAGACGCTTTTATCCAAAGCGACTTACAAATGAGGACAATCTTGTAAATTTTTGGGCAGGATATGGTAATACTGTAATTTCTTAACTTTTTTATTTGTAAATGAAACAAATTATCACTCATTTTAATTTAGTGACTTATAAAGCCTTTTTTTGTTTGTTTTTAGCATTATTTTGAAGTCAGATGAATGATTTACACTATAAAGAATAATTTTTTGAAGTTTAAAAAAAAAGCTAAGATTATTGGAGTACATTTCACAAGAAAATACGATTTTAGTCTACTTCAAAATTTTACTGTTATTTGCTGGATTCTTTGTCATGTTTTGTGAGATTTACTAGCAATTTCGGAGTGAAAATTGTTTTAAATTTTTTCAGTGTACTTTTGAAATTCCACTCTAAACATCTATGACGTGTGTGTGTGTGTGTGTGTGTGTGTAGGTGACTGCATGCTTCCTGCAGCGTCTCCGGTTGGGCTGCATAAGTTGGTTCAGTCTCTTTGCGGGCTGCAAGTAGAGAAGAGTCAGCTGAGAGGAGAGCTGCGATTGCTTCATTCCAAGCTTGAGCAGAGAGAACGAGATCGCCATACTAACGTACAGGCTTTCCAACAGCAGGTGCTCAGCATTATACTTCCCCTCTATTCATTCAGTCACAGACTCTATTCATTCATCCTCTCATTCAACCCACCAAATTTATTCATGCAATCAGCCATCCATTGACAATCAGTGTTTTTAATAGCACGTCTCTACATATTCCTCTCTGTCTACCACACCAATGATTGTTAAAGTAAATTAGATTTACAAAATCAGGTATTAAACTCTTGTTGACTGTACATTTTATCCATTTATCTGTTCATTCAGTTTCACCCCCTTCGCCCATTTTTCATTCCAGACTTGCTAAGCTGACAGCATTGATTTTCTCCCTGTAGATTGAGGAGCTGAAGAGCTGTATTGAAGAAAGAGAAGAGGAGCTGTCCAAACTCAGAGTTGCATCGGTAAGCTTTTGGAAGAATCTGTTCCAGTGCTCTGCATTTGAAACTGAGCACATTAAAAACCAGGCCAGACAGTCTCAAAATATTTCATGACCAACAGTTTATCTGGGTTGTTTCCTCAGATACTTTTTCCAGGCCAGCTGTAACTTTTTTGGTGTTTTTTTTTTTTACTAGGGAGTAACAGACTCAGAAAAACGAGTGCTTTGCTTATCAGCAGAGAATGATAGTTTGAAACACAGCCTCACAGTGACACAGGGTCTTCTGCAGCAGCTGTCAGTCATCCCATCCCAGTCCAGCTCCGTGCTCATCAAGGTAAGACTGGCTTTAAATGCATTGGGTGTGTGGTAAATCTATCTATCTATCTATCTATCTATCTATCTGTCTGTCTTTATCTATCTACCTGTTTTTCTGTTTTTATCTATCTATCTATCTATTTATCTACCTGTTTTGTCTGTTTCTATCTATCTAGCTATCTACCTGTTTGTCTGTTTTTATCTCTCTATCTATTTATCTACCTGTTTGTCTGTTCTATCTATCTATCTACCTGTTTGTCTGTTTTTATCTATATATCTATCTACCTGTTTTTCTGTTTTTATCTATCTATCTATTTATCTACCTGTTTTGTCTGTTTCTATCTATTTTCTGTTTTTATCTATCTATCTATCTACCTGTTTGTCAGTTTTTATCTATCTATCTATCTACCTGTTTGTCAGTTTTTATCTATCTATCTATCTACCTGTTTGTCAGTTTTTATCTATCTATCTATCTACCTGTTTGTCAGTTTTTATCTATCTATCTATCTACCTGTTTGTCAGTTTTTATCTATCTATCTATCTACCTGTTTGTCAGTTTTTATCTATCTATCTATCTACCTGTTTGTCAGTTTTTATCTATCTATCTATCTACCTGTTTGTCAGTTTTTATCTATCTATCTATCTACCTGTTTGTCAGTTTTTATCTATCTATCTATCTACCTGTTTGTCAGTTTTTATCTATCTATCTATCTACCTGTTTGTCAGTTTTTATCTATCTATCTATCTACCTGTTTGTCAGTTTTTATCTATCTATCTATCTACCTGTTTGTCAGTTTTTATCTATCTATCTATCTACCTGTTTGTCAGTTTTTATCTATCTATCTATCTACCTGTTTGTCAGTTTTTATCTATCTATCTATCTACCTGTTTGTCAGTTTTTATCTATCTATCTATCTACCTGTTTGTCAGTTTTTATCTATCTATCTATCTACCTGTTTGTCAGTTTTTATCTATCTATCTATCTACCTGTTTGTCAGTTTTTATCTATCTATCTATCTACCTGTTTGTCAGTTTTTATCTATCTATCTATCTACCTGTTTGTCAGTTTTTATCTATCTATCTATCTACCTGTTTGTCAGTTTTTATCTATCTATCTATCTACCTGTTTGTCAGTTTTTATCTATCTATCTATCTACCTGTTTGTCAGTTTTTATCTATCTATCTATCTACCTGTTTGTCAGTTTTTATCTATCTATCTATCTACCTGTTTGTCAGTTTTTATCTATCTATCTATCTACCTGTTTGTCAGTTTTTATCTATCTATCTATCTACCTGTTTGTCAGTTTTTATCTATCTATCTATCTACCTGTTTGTCAGTTTTTATCTATCTATCTATCTACCTGTTTGTCAGTTTTTATCTATCTATCTATCTACCTGTTTGTCAGTTTTTATCTATCTATCTATCTACCTGTTTGTCAGTTTTTATCTATCTATCTATCTACCTGTTTGTCAGTTTTTATCTATCTATCTATCTACCTGTTTGTCAGTTTTTATCTATCTATCTATCTACCTGTTTGTCAGTTTTTATCTATCTATCTATCTACCTGTTTGTCAGTTTTTATCTATCTATCTATCTACCTGTTTGTCAGTTTTTATCTATCTATCTATCTACCTGTTTGTCAGTTTTTATCTATCTATCTATCTACCTGTTTGTCAGTTTTTATCTATCTATCTATCTACCTGTTTGTCAGTTTTTATCTATCTATCTATCTACCTGTTTGTCAGTTTTTATCTATCTATCTATCTACCTGTTTGTCAGTTTTTATCTATCTATCTATCTACCTGTTTGTCAGTTTTTATCTATCTATCTATCTACCTGTTTGTCAGTTTTTATCTATCTATCTATCTACCTGTTTGTCAGTTTTTATCTATCTATCTATCTACCTGTTTGTCAGTTTTTATCTATCTATCTATCTACCTGTTTGTCAGTTTTTATCTATCTATCTATCTACCTGTTTGTCAGTTTTTATCTATCTATCTATCTACCTGTTTGTCAGTTTTTATCTATCTATCTATCTACCTGTTTGTCAGTTTTTATCTATCTATCTATCTACCTGTTTGTCAGTTTTTATCTATCTATCTATCTACCTGTTTGTCAGTTTTTATCTATCTATCTATCTACCTGTTTGTCAGTTTTTATCTATCTATCTATCTACCTGTTTGTCAGTTTTTATCTATCTATCTATCTACCTGTTTGTCAGTTTTTATCTATCTATCTATCTACCTGTTTGTCAGTTTTTATCTATCTATCTATCTACCTGTTTGTCAGTTTTTATCTATCTATCTATCTACCTGTTTGTCAGTTTTTATCTATCTATCTATCTACCTGTTTGTCAGTTTTTATCTATCTATCTATCTACCTGTTTGTCAGTTTTTATCTATCTATCTATCTACCTGTTTGTCTGTTTCTATCTATCTATCTATCTACCTGTTTTTATCTATCTATCTATTTATCTACCTGTTTTTATCTATCTATTTATCTACCTGTTTTTATCTATCTATCTATCTATCTATCTATCTACCTGTTTGTCTGTTTTTATCTATCTATCTATCTATCTATCTACCTGTTTGTCTGTTTTTATCTATCTATCTGCATATATGTGACAATCAACAAATAGAAAAAAACAGCAGCAATAATGACAAAACAACAAATGTTTAAAAAAAAGTCAGCAAGCAGCAAAACAATAATCCTATAAGAGTTATGTTATTAATTCTGTTGAATTATGTCTTAATATGGCTTTTATGTAGTTTCAAGTAATTTTTTGTGACAAAAAAGGTCCTGTAAACTAGAAAATATGTAGTTGCTTTTTTACAGTGTAATGAATGGAATAACAGATTGGCTCTACAAAAGTACTTTTTTAAATTATTTTTTTCTATTTTAAATAAAATACAAAATGCAGCCTGTGATCATACTGTTTCATACCAATTACAAGGTGCACACACTCACTCATTCTAAACCTCTGCACACATAAATGTGGAAATTGTATGAAATGATTAGTGTACTGTCTTACCCTGTAGGAAAACGAGAACCTGCGCAGTCGCGTTCTGCAGCTGGAGAGTTCACTGCAGCAGCGGGCAGAGCAGCTGTCACGTCTGGAGCACCAGAGGGAGCAAAGCGACTGGAGAAAAGCAGAAGAGCTCAGGAGACGAGAGGAGAGCGTGAGAGAGCTGCGGCTCGAATTGGACAAAGAACGCAACAAGGAGCCTGTGGTTAAAGTAAGAAAAAATGCAAGAATATGAACTTGAAAAATAAAAAAAAAACACCCAACAAACTAGATAAAATGACATTTTATTCCCATAGTATGTTACCCAAACTGTGGAGGTAGAGTCACCTTCAACTCTACGCCAACTATCCGAAGCCAGACAACAGAATGAACAGCTTTCTGAGAAGCTAAGCAATCAGAGAGAACGATGCCGACAGTTGGAGGAGAACATCAGGCATTCAGATGAAGTCAGCTGCAATTTGCAACACAAGGTTTTTCAGCTTTATCCATTTGTGTTTATGATTGTACATACAGTATAACTGCAGCTAAAGAACTCAACAACCTCTGTTGCTGGTATCTCAAATACAAAACTCATGAATTATACAGTGCATGTCAGAACACTGTAGAAAACCTCCATTCTTCTAAAAAGTAGTGGCTCCACAGATTGCTGCATATGAGAGGGAGATTGGGACATTAAGGGAGGAGCTGCTGAAGGAGATTGGACATCTTGAGGAAAAGAAAGAAGCGGCTGTAAAAGCGGCAGCTAACTGCTCTCAGGAGCATCTCCAGAGCCTGCAGGATCAGTTCACAAGTGAGTTTACTGTATATATATAGTACAAATCTTATAGTTCATGCCTGTTTCTTAAAGGAACAGGCAATACAAAAATAAAAATATGTTGAAAATGTACTCAGTCTCAGGCCATCCAAGATTTAGATGAGTTTGTTTTTTCTGCATCCAAACATTTGGAGAAAATTAGCATTACATCATTTGCTCACTAATGGATCCTCTGCAGTGAATGTGTGTGCTATTATTAATTATGGATTAATAATTTCACCAGAAGCGACAGTTTAGCGTTAAAATAATGTTTTGTCTTTTATAAACACAGTTTTTAACTTCACAAGAAATTAACTGATGAACTGGAGTCATGTTGATTATTTGTGGATTATTGTGATGTTTTTATTAGCTGTTTGAACCCTCATTTTGACGGCACCCATTCACTGCAGAGGATCCATTAGGGAGCAAGTGATGTAATGCTCAATTTATCCAAATCTGTTCTGATTTGGAAACAAACTCATCTCTATCTTGGATGGCCTGAGGGTTAGACCACTTTCAGCTAATTTTATGGGTGAACTACTCCTCTAAAATGGTTTTGGTGATTTCTGGAATGGGTGCACTTTATATCATCTTACAGTCTTCGGAGTGTGCTCATGAGCGCCCCTGTCGTTGACATTGTTAAATATGCATCTTAAATGCAGCAATGTATTCAGCTTAGTTTATGTTTATGTGTGGAATCTCCAGCCCTCCAGAAGCGTCTGAGTGCTCTGCCTCCCACATTACGCACCATGAAGACTGATTATGCCAGCCTTCGCAGCCAGGTCCGCAACTTTTCTGACTTCTATGAAACAGCTATCAAAGAAGCCAAGAAACAGGTACTGCAAGCTGCACAAACTTGCACTAAATGTAGAACTTCTAAGATCTAAGAGTTGATATAGTCAAATTTTATTTGTTGCTTTTCAATTCTGAATCATTTTTTAATATTACAACAGATTATGGCAGCTATAAATGAGATGTCAGAGGCCAACAAAGACCTTTTGGAAAAATACAGAAAGGAGGTAGCTCTCCGTAGGAAGTACCACGAGCAGCTGGTTGAGCTTAAAGGTAGGCAGTATTCACCATTCTTTCACCATATGTTTGTCTAAAATGCAAAATCTAAAACAAGTTTTTTTTCACCAGGTAATATCCGTGTGCTGTGCCGTGTAAAGCCAGTACTGAAGGAAGATCAACATGAAGAAGGCCAAGCAGTAGTTGTGACAACAGACCCCAATAATGAATCTGCACTCACAGTTTTAAGCAAAGGAAAGGCTAAAAACTTTGAGCTGGATAAAGTCTTCCACCCTCAGGCCACTCAAGAAGAGGTAAGCAGGGTAAAAGTCATATTCAACCTCACTATCACTAAATTGGTCATTTTCATGGCCAATATTAAGATTCTATACTATCTAAAGCTATAGCTATCTAAAAGAACTCTTTTTGATATGTATTTTTGACTATAGAGAATGGGAATCTACGTCACGCCACGTTGGATTCCGCCATGTTTCTAGGTCACGCTCTGGAGCACACCGTGTAAACACACGCAAATCACCACAGAAAAAGCTGATCGTTTACTATTAATATTTTTTTTTGAAAACCATCTTACATACTCGTAGAATAAAACGGACTAATATGTAAATCTCTTTAAATAAAAGAAAAAAAGAAAATCTCTCTGTGGTTTGTCTGAGAGGCTGCAAATATTCATTATTCAGTCTCCTTCACTACAGTGGTGCTGATATAGGCTAGCTGCTAAAACACTGGTCAGAGCAGCAGAACCATGGCTATTTTTAAAGTGGAGAATACATAGCTAGATCTCAAACAGTGAATCATTTATCATGGTTATATATCATCATATTGCCCAATAAAACTGCTCAGTGTAAAGAATTAAGCCATTATAGAGGTAACAGAGCTTACTGTAAGCTGCTTTGAAACGATGTGTATTGTCATATATGATTTTCTTCTATTTGTAGTGTGAGGGCTTACAGTTTAATGCACTGTATAGAATAAATCTACAGAGATCAATTATTAAGCCACATCTTATTTGAGTTGTTTACCATACAGAGTTTCAGTTTAACTTTCATCCGAGTTCTGTAGTGAATGTAGACATGTTTATATGATTCAACTTAAGATCGCGTTGGAATGATTAACGCTTACTGTATCTACATAGAGTTAATCAAAAGCAGAGGTATTTCATGCAGACATTGATAATTAAGGGCTATGGCTATGGCTCTGCTCTTTCAGCTTTCTAACGCTGAAAAAAGCATGTTTTTCACACCGGCCGTGCAAAGGGCTATGGCAAATAATGTAAAGTGAGCCTTACCACTCCAACGCGATCTTAAGTAGAATAATATAAACATTAAATAATCAAACGTCTACATTCACTATATTATCCAGTCTCCGCTGTAGCTCCCGTGACCTAAATTCCCAGAATGCATTGCCGCTGTGACAACACATTCCCATTCTCTATTCTTGGTCTTTATCTCAGGTGTTCCAGGAAATTGAGCCACTCATCACATCCTGTATAGATGGATATCACGTTTGCATCTTTGCTTATGGCCAGACAGGATCTGGCAAGACCTATTCTATGGAGGTAACATATAGGGATCTGTAATAATATACCGGTCATAACAAACGGTTCCAATTTCATACTTTTGACCCAGATGATCTGTTTCCATTAATTATTCAATAAGACTGTCAGGTCTCATTAACCATCCGTGTCTGCTCAGGGAACCGTTGAGAACCCCGGCATCAACCAACGAGCCCTGAAACACCTGTTCAATGAGATTGAGGAAAGAAAAGACATGTGGACATACACCGTCAGTGTCAGCTCGGTGGAAATTTACAACGAGGTCCTGAGGTATTGCATTTTACCCCTTTATCATGCCAAAATCTATGGTGGTTGCCACTTGAATGCAAAATAAATTGTTGCCAATAATGTTAGAAGCATCTAAGTAAAGTGAGCTTTTAGATAACCTGATGTTCAATTGATGTTTATGAGGAATATTAAGGATTAGTTCACCCGAAAATTAAAACTCTATCATTAACTTCTCACATTCATGTTGTTCCAAACTCATAAGATTTCCTTTCAACTTTATAACTCCAATAAAGATATTTTATGGCACGCAAGAGATTTCTGTCCTTCCTTTGAAAGTCTATTCCAAAACATTGATTCTTAAATATGAATCGAGTGGTTTAATTCAAGTCATCTATTCACATTTAAACATTGATCAACACACACATAGAGCATATCAAATATGGTAAGTGAAAGCTCAACTGTACTTGCTTGACATGCAAGAAAAAACCTCATTGGAAAAACCCTGGAGCTTTCTTTTACAGTCTCTTTATGTACTTTTTGATGTGTCCAACTTTTGGTTTAATGGACTTTCAATGGAGGAACAGAAATTTCTAGTTTCATTTTTGGGTGCACTAACCCTGTATTACAATTAAATCATTAACATTTCTTTATTGTTAACGTCAGAGATCTGCTCAGTAAGGATGGAGAGAAACTTGACATCAAGATCAACCCTGATGGGACAGGTCAGCTTCATGTGCCAGGACTCAGGGTCATGGAGGTCAAAAGCTTCCAGCATATCAAGAAAGTGAGTTCATATGTCAAGGTAATGCTGACTATACAAAGACCACTCTCTCCAATGATCTGTTACTTTTTGCAGATTTTGGCCATAGCTCGAAAGAACAGGATTACATTTGGAACACAGATGAACCAGCATAGCTCTCGATCTCATGCCTTGCTCACTGTGACTGTGCTGGGCACAGACCTTGCCAGTGGAGCCAAAACCACAGGTCAGTCCCAATGATTCTGGAACAATTTAGATTGCTTGAGTTGTGCGAGAATTCTCAAAGTCATGAGTTCCCCCTCTAAAAGCTATCACTATCCTTGAATGACCATAATCTGTGACCTCTCCTTTACAGGCAAGCTGAATCTCGTGGATTTGGCTGGTTCTGAGAGGGTGTGGAAGTCTGGGGCAGAGGGGGAGAGACTGAAGGAAGCCCAGAATATCAACCGCTCACTGCTGGCTCTAGGAGATGTGATCCAGGCCTTGAAGGCCCACCAGACTCACATACCCTTCAGGAACTCACGACTCACCTACCTGCTGCAGGACTCACTGGGAAAAGGCAACAAAACCGCCATGGTTGTTCAGGTACAATGATTTACCAAGACTCACTAGCTAACCCTGTTAGCTTAGCTGTGCCAAGCCCCTTTCAAAATGACAAATGTGAAAAATTGGCCGGGGTTTAAAAAGGCAATAACCCAGAGTTGGTTGGATCACAGCGTTTAAGCGCTTCCTACATTGTAATGTCAATTTTTAAATAAAGCCAATGAACAACAAAGCTCATGTAAAAAATAATTTGTTTTCTTTAGGTTTCTTCTCTTGAGAGCAATGTTGGAGAGACCCTGTGCTCGCTAAAATTCGCCCAGCGAGTGTGTAAGGTGGAGCTAGGCCCTGCTGCAAGAAAAATTGAGACGGGGGGACATAACGAAAGCAAAAATTAATGCATACCATCAACCCTCACAAGTAAACACCAGAAATGGCATCAACTCAAGCCTTGCACTTTTCCAATCCTACTCAAGGGCTACAGTTCTGGTAACATCTGTGATGCCACATAAGTTCCAGTTTCTTCCTGCTACTTAGCAATGGCATTTCTCCACCAGCTGATCTGCATGTCAAAGTCTCACCACCACCACCAATATCTAGACAAGCTCTCTGTCACCATAAGTTCAAAATATCACAGAACATTCTCCACAGGGAAGACTGGTGAGGATATTTCAGTAAATCTTGCTAAAAAACACTTTGTGGAGTCACTACACAAGAGGCCACAGTATCGTAATTGTATATAGTCTAGGAAATAATGGCAAAATTATGTCTTTTTTGTGTATGGTTGGTGTGGACTTCTATGATTGTTATGCGTGTTGAACCAGCCAATCTGTCTTTTATTAGGTTCAGAGGATGTGAGTTCAGCCAAATTGCACGAGATCAGCATTTGCTGATTTTATTTATCTGACAGAGGTGGTGGCTTAGCGTTTCAAGATCCAAGCTAATAACCGTAAGGTCTCATTTTCAACCACTAGGGCCTCGTTTATAAAGTGTGCGTTCGCAAAGAGCAGACGTATGTACTTTTTCTTGTCGGAATGCTGCAGGTTTTTGGAAATGTAAGCTGTTCTTGCAGCTCGCTCTTCTAAATTAAAGGATTTGGACGATGACTGGTGATGTTTTGTTAATGACATTAATTAGGAATCGTTTACAAGGTAGAGAGCTGAAACCATTCAGTTGCGCGCAAGTTCAAGATTAGTTGTGATTCACAGATTTCACATCTGAAAGAGAGGCGTACATGCGTTTTCTGTGTACACGTTCATTCTATGAATCACACATAGGCCTATGCATATTTGAGAGATGATCGTAAGATCACGTTTAGGATGGTTTCTGTGCATCCTTTTATAAGCGAGGCCCCTGAAATGGTGATTCATGAAATTATTTGGCTGATTCTGGAGTCATCTGATAACACCACTCTGTCACTGAAGGAGGAAATAAAGCCAGGATTTGGAAAGGAAACCATTTGCTAAAGATGAGAACGAATGTATCTATACTTCACAGCATATTGTGTGCAATAGCACCTCTTAGTGGTGAGCATCTCCTTTTTTGGTTTTGGCCCAATTGAGAGGGACCACACGGAACAAAATGTTACTCTTAAACATATATATAAATTATTAATTCGTAATAGACATACCAACATACAACATATCAATATATTTAAATTATATATTATTATTATCTTCCTAGGATGTTTAGGATAAGTTTACGTTTAATGTGAAATGACATTATTGCTCTTTTAGTTTTAGCCGTGTTACAGAGGGAGGTGAGGAATGCACTTTATTGTCAAAGACTTGTGCTGTCCATACGACTTGTCTTTTAACAAAATGTACAGTAGGTCTATCAGTTTGTTTCCAAAAATGTGCAGCTTTTAAATCGTGGCAGAATAATTCTAGAAAAAATGTTTTAGAGAGAGACTGGCTCACGTACGCACACTAATTTACTAACTTATTCTACATATCATGAAGCCAGAATAATGTACTGCAGTTTTATCTGTACTGTTCTCCTCAATTATGATATTGTATTCTTCTCTGTAACGTGTCTGATTTTAGAACTCTCTCATATTAATGAGAAAGGAGAAAAATACATCATGAAAATATGAATTTAGCCCTTCTTTATCTGCATTCAAGTTCTGTTTTAAAAGAAGTGTACTGACATTGGAAAATATTTTATCATAAGACCCAGAAAGGAAAAAGACAGTCAATTTAGAAAAGAAAGAACGGTTTACTTATACAAAACAACTAAATAATAATAAAAAGGAGAAAGTCGTCTTTGTGTACTCCATAATGAAACACAAAAACACCTGTATTCCTCTGATTCTTTCTTTCTGTATCTCACAATCACCTGATCTGGATGTGTGTGAACTCGTGCTGAGCTCAGCATAAAAAAAATTCAATTTTAAACACACACTGCTATGTAATGAGGATTTGGGCAGGAAACTTCTAGAAAATCAGTTGTGCGTGACCGTCATTCTCAACAGATTCAATCCGAGTCTCCCTCTTCCACGCCAACTGCTCCGACCGCTCCAGCCAGCTCTTCCTCACTTCCCTTGAGCCGTTCACCTGTGGAATGACACAAATGCCCAGACATAAGCAAGCTATGAACATCAAATATGTGTTTCACCAAAAACTCTTGTGTGTTCTATGTCTGATTTGGTGATCCATAAAATACTTGTTTTTAAGAAATTACAGAATTTATTTAAATTGTGGGTTTAAGAGACAAAACTAGTAATGTTAGGTCTAGTTTGTGCCAGAGGAGCGTACAGAGACAGGAAGTCCATATATGATGTCATTTAAGAGATCTCCAGAGCTTTTGAACCTTCTCAGCAATTAGCCTTACATCAAGCCCTGGCGGAGCTCAATGCAAAAAGGCTCTACAACTATAGTTTCAATATATTACTGATAAAAGAAGTGATGCAGAAATGGATTAATGCTTTAGTTATACATTGTACGTTATATTATTGTCCACACCAAAGGGACGTTCTAACATTCTTCTTATTAAAAGCGTGCTGCAGTTGTCATCGGTCCCTTTAAATGCTCAAGCTCTTTCAAATGAATGTTTTTATCATTCATCATCAGCTGGAAAAAATAATTTTGTGTTGATTTGCAATTAGAACAATTATTGAAAATGTGTCATTACAGTTATCATTATAGATATCATCCTTGGTGCAGACCTGCCTTGGTCTCAGTCATGTCATACTCACGTATAAGTTCAGCAATGGCTTTCTGTGTTCGCCTCTCTAATTTCTCAAGCTTCTTGGCAACGTCTCTCTTTAGATCCCTATTATAAACACACAACACAAGCATTAAATGAATGAAGATTTTAACTAAAATGGATCTCAATGAATATGATGCATGATTGCGTTTTAGGAGTAAAAATTAAAGGTTTGTACCAGTCTGGTTTTCTGGGGGCAAGATTGGCCAGATCCTGAGAACACAAGTCAAGAGTGAAAAAAAGAGAATAAGATTAGTTTAAATTCAGGCAAGGGCTGCCCAGTGATTCTGCACTGTTTGAGATGACACTTTTCCACTACAAAAGAAAATTAAACATAATGAGAAATAATGACATGTAAATAAGTCTACAAAGAGAGCACACATACAGTGTAATTTGTTTAATGAGCAAACAACTCTTTTGAGCTTTTAATGAATTGTTCAAAACTCACAAATTCACTCACAAATTATAGGTTTGAAGCTCCTACTTCAAAGTTTTCACAATCGCAATTTTATGTAAATTAATCATTTTATTTAGCAATGAACTAATCAGAAGTGAAAGAAAATACATTTATAATGTTACAAAAGATTTATATTTTTAATAAATGCTGTTTTTTAACTTGTCAGTAATCAAAGAATCCAGAATCATCCTTGGTGCAGACCTGCCTTGGTCTCAGTCATGTCATACTCACGTATAAGTTCAGCAATGGCTTTCTGTGTTCGCCTCTCTAATTTCTCAAGCTTCTTGGCAACGTCTCTCTTTAGATCCCTATTATAAACACACAACACAAGCATTAAATGAATGAAGATTTTAACTAAAATGGATCTCAATGAATATGATGCATGATTGCGTTTTAGGAGTAAAAATTAAAGGTTTGTACCAGTCTGGTTTTCTGGGGGCAAGATTGGCCAGATCCTGAGAACACAAGTCAAGAGTGAAAAAAAGAGAATAAGATTAGTTTAAATTCAGGCAAGGGCTGCCCAGTGATTCTGCACTGTTTGAGATGACACTTTTCCACTACAAAAGAAAATTAAACATAATGAGAAATAATGACATGTAAATAAGTCTACAAAGAGAGCAATGAACAATGAAATAAGCAATGAACTAATCAGAAGTGAAAGAAAATACATTTATAATGTTACAAAAGATTTATATTTTTAATAAATGCTGTTTTTTAACTTGTCAGTAATCAAAGAATCCAGAAAAATACGGTTTCCAACCTTGATAATACGAACTGTTTTTAATAATTAAGCACCAAATGCAAATATCAAAATAATTTCAAGTGGCACTGAAGACTGGAATAATGGCTACTGAAAATGTAACGTTGCATCACAGAAATAAACTACATTTTAAAATACATTAAACATGAAAAAAGGTATTTTACATAATACTGTATTTTTGATCTAATAAATGTGGCACTGGTGACTTCTTACAAAAAAATTTTTAAATCTTAATTATTCCAAAAGTTTGACAGGTAGTGTATATATTCAGGAAACACTGGTGCTCTCCATATGGCATCATGTTTGAAAACTGAGACTTTGTATCACTCACCACTTCCTCAATCACAGGCTCTGGGTTTGCAGCTTCCAGCTGGTCCTTGACCTTGTCCTCCACTACAGTAATATGAAACAAGACCAGTCAGACAACCTGTAACCCAACACCTGATCACCTGCTGTAACATTATCACCCAGCATCACTATCACTGAACGGTCTATTTAATTTGCTGGTATAAACATTTGAAAATATAATTTAAAGTTACAGCCAGTAATATGTCTTGCAGGTAAGCCAGAAGTGTTCTCACCTGATGCAGGTTTTGCTTTGGGCACCCGTCGCTCCTTCAGCTCCTCGTCCTCCGGCATGTAATTCCTCAGCTTCAGCTCTCTGCAAACATAATTCCAGAATTATGTAATTCAATCAGATTTAAAGTCACGTCCCCATTATAACCTATTCAAGGAGATATTACAAAGGCAATCACACAAGCAATCACAGGAAACCCCAGTAACCAGCAGGTGGCAGTGCAGATAAAGATTTAGTTTGGACCATCAGCAGCTGGTGCTGTTGGATCACTGAATCTGGCCTGTGACAGCATCCAGAGTACATTTGCTCACCATGTGAACAAAGCATCCCTTCATCTTTGTAGCACTAGCTAATTAGCATGTAGCATCTGACTGTGTCTAGGGACTGCAGCCTCACAGCTGAGAGGGGCTGAGACAAGCCCAATTATGCCATCGCTCAACCGGCAGGTTTGTTAACATCTTTGCAAGTTACAACAAAATTGGCTGCTGGACCTCCAGGGAAGCATAGAGGGTTCTTCACAGCTTGATCAACAGAAGATGCATGTGAAGGTTCGTATAGGAGACTGAGAATTCATTTTCATCGAATTGCTCACTGGTTTGTCTCCAGAGATGTGTGCCCATTTTTTCCTCAAAAAAGGGGCTATAGCAGGCCTACATTCATCACCACTTTATGAATAAATAATGTATATTTAGTAAAAAAATAAAAACTGATGTATACACTCACATGTTATTAAGGTAAATGTAATTACTTTTTACCTGACGGCTATACCACATGACATTTGCAGTCATTTAACTGAAGCTTTTCTTTAAAATGGTATAAAAGTCATGTGGTGCAACCAACATTAATAAAATGATATCAAGGACAATAAGTCAATTTTGCGACATTTTCATGACAAAGCAAGGTTAGTGCAACTTGTAAAATGTCATGTGGTGCGACTCTCCAAAAACTAAAAATTAAATCAAAATGATCTTTTCCTTGAAAAATATTTTTTAAGTGTTTTGAAACAATTATTAAGATCAGGAAAACGTGTAATAATGTTTTACTTGATGGTTACACCACCTGACATTTTTAAAGCCAATAAACTAGAAGTGTAGAACTTAAATATTAAGCATTATTTTATCTTATTTTAAGTGTATAAGCATTAAACTTTTCTTTAAAATGGTATAAAAAGTTATAAACCATACGAAACAAACATGAAAAGAAAAAGCTGTCTCCAGAGATGTGTGCCCATTTTTTCCTCAAAAAAGGGGCTATAGCAGGCCTACATTCATCACCACTTTATGAATAAATAATGTATATTTAGTAAAAAAAAACAAAAAACTGATGTATACACCAAAAAGTTATAAACCATAAGAAACCAACATGAAAAGAAAAAGTACACGTCCTTTTAAACTAGTCTTCTAAAAGATTATTACTTTTCCTTATCATGGACACTCTTATTTGTCACTGACCCAACTATAACAAGCCAATGTGGTCATCACCGCTTGATCTATATGTGTACAAGTACAGTCAAACCATGTAATTAGATGGGCTGGGACCAAAGAGATTGTTAATGTCAGCTGTGTCACTAATCCTTTTCAATGCTCTTGGGTGTAGGGTTATCAAACTAAAGCATAATGAAATGGAAAAACATGTCATCAAAAACAAAGCATTGTGACCACTAATTTCACAGCCAAACCCTATCAAGGCCTTGCAAAGTTGCACTAAATATTATGACCCCAAACAAGAGCATTGAAGGGTTTTGGAAAAACACTCAAAACAATAGACTGAAACAAAGAGCTGGGAACTCCTCCCTGTCCTCAGCTTTCCTGAAAAGACTTCCTGACCACCTGCTGGAACAATACAGGACCACTGGCTTTCCTCATCTACTGTAGAGCGGCCAAACAATCCATCAATTTTAGAATGTCAACAGCTGTTTGTCAAACTCTGAGCATTTCGAACATCCTGGAGTCTTGAATAATTTGTGGCCAAGGGACTGAGCAAACTGGCTAGAACAGTATCCTGTTTTCTCATTTAATTACATACAGAAATACGGATTAATGCTCAAGGGGAAAACTCTTGTGTTCTTGAAGTGCTCAGAGGGACGGAGCTGAATTGAGAGTCTTGACAGTTTGGTGGAAGGTCTATCAAGGCCTTGCAAAGTTGCACTAAATATTATGACCCCAAACAAGAGCATTGAAGGGTTTTGGAAAAACACTCAAAACAATAGACTGAAACAAAGAGCTGGGAACTCCTCCCTGTCCTCAGCTTTCCTGAAAAGACTTCCTGACCACCTGCTGGAACAATACAGGACCACTGGCTTTCCTCATCTACTGTAGAGCGGCCAAACAATCCATCAATTTTAGAATGTCAACAGCTGTTTGTCAAACTCTGAGCATTTCGAACATCCTGGAGTCTTGAATAATTTGTGGCCAAGGGACTGAGCAAACTGGCTAGAACAGTATCCTGTTTTCTAATTTAATTACATACAGAAATACGGATTAATGCTCAAGGGGAAAACTCTTGTGTTCTTGAAGTGCTCAGAGGGACGGAGCTGAATTGAGAGTCTTGACAGTTTGGTGGAAGGTCTCTCGTTTCTCAGAGCTTGCAAAACAACCGAGGGGACCATCATCAGGCTTCCATCAACCTAAAATAAGCAGCAGTGGTACAGTAAATCCTGACTGCTGACAAAACTCATTTAGAGAGAACAGAAATAACAAATATGATGTGGTAGGATGGGTTGCTTTGCTTGGGAAAATTCCAAGTCAAGTTGGACATTTGACATTTGTCCTACCGCTTAAGCTATGACTAAATACTATCTGGCACAGGTGAAAGGCTGAGCTGCATTCAAAAGCTGAGCAGACATTCATTATCTGCCTCACCTCACTTCAGAATTTTGACAGCTTAAACAAAAAGACCAAGCTGTTGCCCAACAAAAGTGGATGTTTCCACTTATTGAGTACGGAACTCAATAAGCAGAAAACACGTATGCACAATAAAGTACACTACTGTTCAAGTTTGGGGTATGTACATTTTTTCATGTTTTTAAAGAAGTCCTTTATGTTCACTAAGGCTGCATTTATTTGATCAAAAATACAGTAAAAGTAATATTGTGAAATATTATTACAATTCAAAACAACTTCTTTCTATTTCAGTATATTTTAAAATGTAATTCATTCCTATTATGGCAAAGCTGAATTTTCATTATCATCACTGCAGTCTTCAGTGTCACATGAATAAATTCAAAAATCACTCTATTATGCTGGTTTGCTGACAAGAAACATTATCAACGTTGAAAATTTAAATTTTTGCTGTGCTGCTATTTTTGTGGAAATTGTAATATTTTTTCAGGATTTGATGAATCATCAAAACCTGTTTTAATAATTTTCTTTACTGTCACTTTTGAATGAAAGTAATATTTTTAAGGTATTAAAATTAAATTTTGATTCATTCTGAATTTATTTGATCATAAAAACAGGCCATTAAATCCCATCTATGGTCTAGGGGTATGATTCTCACTTCAGTGCGAGAGGTCTTGGGTTCAAATCCCGGACGAGCCCCCACTTGTTACGTTCCACTTTCCCAGTCTAGGGTTGGAAGTATTTATTCAAATTTTTTTTTTATTACAATAAACTAAATTACAATAGAAATTGTTGCTTTGCTTTTCTAAAGACAAGTAGATTATCTCTCAGGTATAGCAGCAAAGGATTTGTTAAAACAACAAGTGTGCTGGGTGGTGAATCACCTCTCAATGGGCCTCACTCATGAAACATGAGCAAAACCATTTTTTGTGCAAATCATTCGAAAAGTCATTCTGACGTAAATTTTCGGATTCATAAAAATTTTCGTATTTTGAAAATGTTAGTTGGTATGAAATAAATTTACACCTGCTCCCTACCATGTGTAAATGTTGCATAAAACATTCAAATGTTCTGTATTCTTTTAGACAATCTGATGACACTGCATTTTTATGAACTATGTATTAGAATGATATTTAACGAGTTAATTTGCCCTGTCCTTTTTTAGTTTTTTACTCTTTAACTTTGGGTAAAATGCAGAGCTCGTCACTGTCCCTTTTTACACCGCCGTCCAATCACAGTGGAGGAGGGGCGGGACAAACATTACGTTGACCAAACACGATCATACTTGTACAACTCAACAATGGAGAAGTTAATATCCTTTATAAAAGTTAAGAGTCAGCCGCGCCTACCCAAAACGGCTCGTTCTAACCCACACCCACATATCTCCCTCACTATGTGGAAATATTAGCATAATGCCGCCCAAATGTGCACGCAAAGAAAGGCGGCTTGGTTTCAGGAACAGGTTATTTTATGTCCATTTTATAGACGACAGTTTTTTGAACCTAGAAGAGTACAAGGCTGGCTGTGCACAAAAGCTATTTCTTAAAAAAAAAAAAAAAAAAAAAAAGGGTAAATTC